AAAAAAAAAAAAAAAAAAAAAAAAAAAAAAAAAAAAAAAAAAAAATCGTGAAAGAATAAAGTTGGAGATTTTTTTTATTAATTTAACTTAAAAACTATATAAATTAAAATCAAATAAAACTTAAACCAGAATGATATTTTGGATGTTCATGACAAATTTTTTTAGTCCCATTTAGAGCAAAGGCTTGATTGAAAACTTAAAAATAAACATGAAAGGCCACTTGTTGTTGATATTTTGTAGTTGCATATCCATTCTGTAAAGATTTGGTATCATTGTTGTCTCCATGATGCAGAATTCTTGCAGGAAGTGATAGGCGATATGTATCTGTGGCCCCAAAATGTACAAAAAAGAGAGAACACCAAATGAAACACAAAGAGTACAAATGAAATGGAATGGGGTCGCTATGCAAATGTTCGAGTCTCGAGCACCCGACACTTCATTATGACTTAAACTTACGCTACTTGCTTGACTTGAGTTGTTTTTAACGGGGAACGTTTTCTTACAAACGAACACATTTTTTTTCAAGTCACTAGACAGGTTTGATCTAGATCAATTCCATATGATCGATACATGTTTTCTGCTTGACATGTGTTGCTTGCACAAGGTTGACTACTTTTCTTATGAACCAAGACAGTTTTTTTTTCTTTCAACCAAGTCTATCTTATTCACATGTTTGTCGCTAAGCTCAACGCAGTGGATTGATCTAAACTAAGCATGTGTTACCATGAAGTTTATATTGAATGGACTCACATGTCTCGAGTTGCTCAAGAATAAAAATGTCTAACTAATGAGCTCCTATTCAATGGACTATTGAAAGACACGTGTATCGATTAGCATATGAACTATCAATTTTTAGGAGTTTTTTTAACCGTGTTGTTCGTACTTTTATAGTCTTAAAGATCATTTTCAAATCATTTTCATTTTATGCCTTAATGGATCCTTTTGCTGGGATATTATGGTAGGAGTTAAAAAATTGTTAAATTATAAGTTTAGTTTATAAACTTTTAAAATTGTGTCATAGATACACGAACTGCCTAAAATTGCAACTTTTCAAAATACAAAGATTTCAAAACTAAAATTGTAATTTAACCAAATAAATTCGGCACCCATTTATGAAAATTATTTAATAAGATTACTATAATGTGACCGTCTCATAATAAACATTTATCTGTTGGTGATTAAAAAACATGTAAAAACATGCATGTCCCTTAATAATTACAATACATGGGAATAATAAAAAAAACGGTCGATTACATTAGGGTCTCATCAAATAATTTCTCGCATTAATTGATGAATTAAAGAATGAACAATGGTCTATGTCCAATCAAATCAACAAATAAGAACTATTTCCCATCAAAATGTGAGACCAGCAAATTAAAAATCAAACTCCATTTTGGTAGAGATTAATAAAACAAATGTAAAAGAGAGAAAAATGGTATCTATTCTGTCATCCCAATACCCTTCCCATGAACATAACCTCAACTTAATCATAACTTCAGCTAGAATACTGTCTTGAGATTGACAAATTTTAGTCAGTTTAAACACATTCTGAAGTTGAAGGTTCACTACATGGCGACTCAAAGAAGGAATGCAAATTCAATATTCTTTAACCGATGCACCATAGTCTGTATGTATATACATTGTCCGTCTCTAGCAATGCTTACAACAACTAAACAATATTAGATTCCACAAACAAGAAAATAGAATACACTGAAACAAGGGAGCCGTGATTTGATACAGATGACTTATAACAGGTGAATTAATAGAAAGGTGTTTCAAAAAAATATCCAAACAATTCACTAACTTTCTTCAGATACAATTTCTTCTTATACGCTTGTGTGCAAATTGATACAGTGAGTGAGATGAATAGAACTTACGAGTTTGATGAGTCACCAGAAGGCACGGGTCGGGCATTTAATAGATGCTGGAGGGCTTTGACAACAATGCTCATGTTTGGCCGGAAATCTGCTTCATACTGCACACACAGGGCAGCAACAGCTGCTAACTGCAATAAAGTTGCATCCGGTATTAGATATAGATTCTTGTTACAGCTAGTAAAATATGGCAAGATCCTCAGATTTTTTCTTTTAATTTGTCTTCCTGGTCTTCACTTTCTCAAGCAAAATTAGTTCCCAAAACATTGACAGACCACCCTTTATAAACAATATACGGTAGGTCACATTGGGTTGATAAACAATTTAGCATCTACAAGAAGCCTTTGAATGAATTCTAAATGCATCAGATGAGCACGGACCAGAACTCCACAAAATGCTCAAACTCTGCCAATTCAAAAAAGAAATGGAAAATTGCTTAAGCATTATTCGAATTACCTTTGCTACAGCCTTTGGGGGGTAGTCTCCGCCAAGCCTTCCATCGACACACTGCCTAACTTTATCTTCACTCAGCTTTGGTGTAGCCTGATTCATTAAGACGACAATGTAAGTTAACTTTCATGCGGAACAGATAAAGAAAACAGGATGAAATGAAGAGGCAAGAGAGAGAAAAATAAGGGGAAAATGTGAAAGCCAAGACGGAGAAGGACAAAAGAAAATCACCCAAGTAACTAGACTTTGTTGTCCTCGTGGTAGCGTAGGATCTACAGGTTTTCTCCCTGTCAGAAGTTCAAGCAAGACTACACCAAAGCTATATACATCACTCTTGGCATTCAATTGACCAGTCATAGCATATCTGCCAAATAGATCAATTATAATTTGAGTTAAAAATTCTCTTCCAGATT